GCTTGAGCCCAGGAGTTGGAGGTTGCTGTGAGCTGTGATGCCATGGCACTCTACCCAGGGGGACAGCTTGAGGCTCTGTCTCAAAAACAGACAAACAAACAAACACACACAAAAAACATAGTGGGCCAAGTCCTACTTCTGGGTCTTTCCAAAGGCTATTCCCAATACATAATTACAATGATGACAACCATCAAAGTCACTACTGATTAGGGTGAAGGCATTGCTGTGTGCCAGGCTCTGGGGCCTCACTCTATTCCTATTAACTCATTTATTCCTCCCAAGCCTAGATTCTAGTATCAACCCCTTTTTACAGAAGAGAAAAGTCAAGGCACAGAGAGGCTGAGGCCACACACCCAGAAAATGGTCAGCTGGAATTTGAACCCAGACAGCCCAACTCCAGAGCCCATAATTACCACCTGTGTGTTCTGCTTCCCCATTCCTGAATAAGCCCCACTGACCATGATAGAGAGGTAGGAAGAGGGCACACCTGCTGCGCATCCTCACTCACCTGGACAGGTAACTCGCTGGGCTTCTCTCTCCTCCATCTTTGGTGCTTCCCCTCGTTCCAGACGGGAGATTATATCAGGTTTGGACCTAAGAAGCCCTGCTCCTGGGAAAAGACAGGAGAGTTGGCTGTGGGTGTCAAGATTCCATGGTAGCCTGGGCACTGGGCCCTGGGTCTGCAGGGGAGATATATACACTGAGGGGCCTAAGGATCCGAAACCTGAATGGCCAATGCAGGACTCACATGTTTGCCTAGAACACTGCAATGAGAGATTGAGCTATGACATGGCCCTTTAAGGTTCTGGGTTCGTGCTGTTCCAGACAAATGTGATGTTAACGTGTAAAAATTCCAGTGTCATGTGTTTCAAAGACTTACTATGGAAAAAGTTGTAAAAATCTCTCAATAATTTGTGTATTGATCATGATTTCAATGTGTTAAAGTGATGCTACCTTGGATAGCTTGAGGTAAATAAAATGCATTACTAAAATTAATTATATTTGTTACTTTTTATGTTTTTATCATGGTCCCTAGACAATTTAAAATGACCTAAGTAGGTCATATCCTATTACGGATGGACAACTCTGCTCTAGATTCATCTACACACGAAGCCTTCCACTTTAAGACTTCTAGAAACATAAGTCACAACACTCTCATGTTAAGATGGGAAACTTGAGGAGCAGGTTTGAGGGAACATGATAAGCTCAGAGGGGATGAGGGTATGGGAGTCTCAGCCCTTCTGAGGGAGGAGTTCTAGAGACCATCATCTTACAAGGTTGAAACTCAGGGGACAACAGAAGGGACATCATTCTGAATGTGCAGAAAAGGGTGAACACTGCAGACCTGACATAGTCCCCCTAGGAAAGGCCTCCTGGTAAGGTGGACCTTTGGGTGGCTTCTGGGAACCTGATTTTGAGGGCTGCCAGCATTTCCTGACTGATGAGAGGAGCTCACTGGCCCAAAACTATTTGTGTGAACAGTTCATAGTCAATGCCTGCCTTCTCGGGAGTCTGACATTTGGGTACATGTTAGAGGAGGCCACATGACTAGTCCCAATAACAACTCCAGGACTGAGCCTCTGAGGAGTCTTCTGGCAATAGCATTTCACAAATGCTGCCACCCATCTCTGCTGGGGGAATTATGCATACCTTGTGTTACCTCCACTAGGAGAGGATTCTGGAAGCTTGTGCCTGGTTTTTCCTGGATGTCACCCCATGTTCCATTTCCCTTTGCTGACAGTACCTTGCACCTTTTCACTGTAATAAACAGTCATGTTGTGAGTCTGACTACGGGCTGAGACCTGTGAATCCTCCTAACAAATCACTGAGGCTGGGGATGGTCCTGGGGACCCCAAAACAAAGTTTGAGCCAAGTTTTTTTTTTGTTTTTATTTTTGAGACAGAGTCTCACTATGTTGCTCTTGGTAGAGTGCCGTGGCATCACAGCTCACAACAACTCAACAGCTCAAACTCTTGGGCTTAAGTGATTTTCTTGCCTCAGTCTCCCAAGTAGCTGGGACTACAGGCACCCACCACAATGCCTGGTCATTTTTTTGTTGCAGTTGTCATTGTTGTTTAGCTGGCCCGGGTTAGGTTCGAATCTGCCAGCCTGGGTGTATGTGGCCAGTGCCCTATCCACTGAGATATGGGCGCTACCATTGAGCCAAGTTTTTGATGACTTTATCCAGAGAAAGTGTATAAGTGAGGAGGGCTGAGGATGGAGCCTCCATATTGCCACTGCTACTTAAGGGAAAAGCAGAGAGAAGAGTTAGAAAAAGAGACTGAGGAGGGAGAGACCCATGAGTGGGGTGTGCTGGGGTGAGAGAGAGAAGGCCAGAGCAGGGCTGGAGCTGGGAAGGTGAAGAGGGGGCAGGAAGGTGGGGGCAAGAGTAGCCAGGGGTCTATGGCCTAAATGTTTGTGTCTCTCCAAAATCCGTAAGTTGAGGCCTAACTCCAAGTGATGGTACTAGGAGGTGAGCCATGGGAGGTGATTAGGTCATGGAGCTCTTGTTTCGTTTTGTTTTGAGACTGAGTCTCACTATGTTGCCCTCATTAGAGTGCTGTAGTGTCACAGCTCACAACAACCTCAAACTCTTGCGCTCAAGTGATCTTCTTGCCTTAGCCTCCTAACTAGCTGGGATTATAGGCACCCACCTCAACACTCATCTATTTTTAGAAAGGGAGTTCTCACTCTTGCTCAGGCTGGTCTGGAACTCCTGAGTTCAAGCAATCCACCTGCCTTGGCCTCCCAGAGTGCTAGGATTACAGGCGTGGGCCACTGCACCTGGCCCATGGAGCTCTTGTGATTAGGATTAGTGTCCTTATAAAACAGGCCCCAGACAGTTCTCTTGTCCCTGTCACAATGTGGGGTTGGAGAAGATACCATCTAGGAACCAGGAAGTGGGCCCTCACCACACACTGAATCTGCCATTGCCTCCCTCTCCCACTTCCCTCCAGAACTGGGAGATAGAAATTTCTGCTGTTCTAGGCCACCTGGTTGATGGTATTTTGTTATCCAGGTCAAACTAAGACATGGGGCAAGGATGGTGCCTGGAGGTTGGAGATGGGGTGCTGACCAGAGACGGGGCCCTGGAGAGAGAGAGGCAGGACAGTGGGTGCACCGAGTTCCACATGAGGTGAATGTGAGGGGTGGCTGGGGGAGCCATGCCAGGAGCAGGTGAGTAGGCATGTGACATCTGGGAGACACATCTAGGGAATAGCATTTATGTGCTCTGGGGAGAAGATGTTGAAGTTGGCTCAGGACCTGCCAATGGAGAGCACTTCCAGGAGGCTCCTGCAGTCTGAGATTCAGGACAGTTGTTCTAGCTTCGAGCCTGAAGCCCCAGAATAGAGAGGTCACCATTGTGGAGAGGGAAGCATGAGAACAGGGCAGGAACACTGGCTGAAGATCTTACAGGACCCAGGTTTTATGGGACAGTACAAGGCCTTGGTCCTCCCTGTCAGCTGAGACTGCAGGACCAGCTGGCAGAAGGAAGACAGAGGCAGGCACGAGGCACAGTAAGAGTCTAGAGGGCCCCAAACAGCCCCAGCAGAGGCCTGCACAAATGAGAAGAGGGTGCAGAGGGGCACAGACCTCTTCCTGGGGAAGGCTGGGTATAGGCCTCACTCAGTGAGAGAAGGTTCTGGTAGTTCTCCAGCATCACATCACGATACAGTTCTCTCTGGCCAGGCTCCAGCTGGCCCCACTCCTCCAAGGTGAAGTCCACAACCACGTCATTGAAGGTCACTGATTCCTGCGAGGACCAATTTTACACTGTGGAAGGCAAGTCCTTCTGGAACTCTGGGGCATGAGATGTCATGGGTCAAGGGCCCACTATTGCTCCTGGAGTGGTGAAACATTCTGACTCTGCAGAGTTGGGATGACTGAATCAAACCGGCCCATGGGGAGATAAAGAGTCTAAGGCAGTCATTCACAGGAACGTGGTATAGAGCAGAACAAGGAGCCCTTCCACGTGATTCTTCACTGCCATCTGTTGGACAGTCATTGTAACATGCCAATTATTTTAGTATATGACAGTGTACCATCTGCCTGAAAATTGCCACAATAAATTTATCATTGTATGAGGTGTAAGAGGTGAGCCCTACCTCTGAGATAAGGCACTTTTGTGCAGGGCATAGTCCACATATCTGGTACATGCTGGCCCTAAGAAAAAGTTTTTTAAAAACTGTCAAGTCATTATGTCTTACTCTATTCCAGACCCCATCCCTGATTCTGACCCCTATTCCTGACTCCAGGGATAAGACTCAGGGGTGAAGCAAAACTATCCACTGCCCATTTGTTCTGGTAACCTAAAGGCTGCTGAGTGTCCAATAATTCATTTTTAGACTGTGTCATGAGGTCCTAGCTGACAGCAGTCTGCATCTGCCCCTGCCTTCCCAGCACCTCCCAGCCTCAGAGCTCCCCACTCCTCATAGCCTTTCTCCCAGTTCTGGGAGGGGAAGAAGGCCTTCATATCATTCACAGAAATGGAGAGGGCCCTCCACAAAGAAGTCCACAAAGTCATCTTGGGGAAGAGAAAGCCCAAACTCACCTGGCTCTCAGGCATCAGGGTCCCAGTGGCCATTGCTGGGTCCTGGGCATGCACCTCCAAGAGAATGATTCAGGCCAGAGTCTGAAGAGCTGGAGGAGGAGACCAGAGCAGAGAAGGTATTGTGGCTTAGACAGATCCTTACCTGGTGTCCTAAGGACAAAAGCAAAGGCTGAAGACAGGCTATGTAAGGCCCCCAGGATGGATGACTGTAAGGACAATAGGTTCAGCTCATCTCGCCCACACCACAGCTCTCGGACATAGGAACTACAGTTATCCCCAGAAAAAGAAATTGAGGTCACAAGAGGTCAAAGCCTTTGCTTAAGGTCATATAGATAAGTGTCAGAGCAGGATCTGAATCTAGAAGTCTGGCTGCAGAGTTATATCCCTCCTCAGGTCCTGCTATGTTGCCCAGGCTGGTCTTGAACTACTGGGTTTCAGTGATCCTCCCACTCCCACCTCCCAAAGGGGTCCTGCTATGTTGCCCAGGCTGGTTTTGACTACTGGGTTTCCATGATCCTCCCACTCCCACCTCCCAAAGTGTTGGTATTACTGTGCACAACCCCCTCTTTTTTCCTTATAATTTTTTTATTGTGGTAAAATATACATAACATAAACACTTACCATCTTAATTATTTAAAGTCTACAATCTAGTAGCATTTAGTACATTCAGTGTTGTGTAACCACAACCTCTACACACATTTAGTTCTAGAATATCTGCATCACCCCCAAAAGCAATCTTGTACCCATGAAGCACCCCCCCCCCACCAAAGTTCTCTCTCTATCCTTTGGCAACCACTAATTGGAGAAAGAAGGACAGAAACCTGGGAGGGAACAAGGATTGTGGTGGTAGGAACCCAGAGAGAAGGACAGAGACCCAAAGAAAGTGACAGAAACTTGGGAAGGTGGACAGAGACCCACAGAGAAGGAGAAACACCTGGAGAGCCCAAAGAGAAAGAGGCACAGAAACCCAGAGAAAGAGACAGAGACTTGGGAAGGTGGACAGAGACCCACAGAGGAAGAGAAACACGTGGGGAGCCAAGGACACACAGGGGAAGTAGGGGGCAGACAGGCGCAGAGAGACAGGGCAGAGGCCAGAGGGTGTATGTGGGGGGGAAGAGTCCCAGGACTGGTAGAACTGAGGTAAAGATGAGACAGAGAGAGAGAGAGAAGAGACAGAGAAAGAAATGAGACACTCAGAACAGACGCTCAGGATTAAGGGTGCTGAGACTAAGGGTGTGAGATCAGTGTTGCTCTCAGGCTTTGAGGTTAGAATCCACGGTTTCGGGGTCTACCACTTAATAGCTCCGTGACATGCGAGAAGTCACGGAGTCTCCCCGAAGCTCAGTTTTTTTCACCAGCATAAGCGAGGACAGGCAGATTTCACTTCCTAGCAGATCGCTTCTGGCTCGTGCTTGGCCGGGCTCCTGGCAAACAGCAGGTGCCCAATTCCTGTACACTGAGTAGTTCAGGCCGCTCAGACGCATTAGAGGTGGGATATCTGGGGCCAGATTGCGAATGACACGAGGGGGCGGGGCGTCACCCACATCGCCCTTCCCCCTCCCACCTAGGCCAGACTCGGGCCCGCCCCCTCAGACCACCAACCTAGCTCAGCTCTCACTCACCTGCTCCAGTCGGGTCCTCCAGGTCAGAACTCACCTATGCGTCCGCGCAGGATTGGCAGGGCTGTCAAATCGTCCCTGTCTCCGTGGAATGCGCCTGCGCGGCACTGTCTAGGACCTATCAGTCCCAGTACTTTAAATTCAGCATCGCGGCTGGACTGTATTTCCCAGAAACACTTGAGGCTCATGCTCCTCCTGGCTTAAGGTCTCTGAGTGCGGTGGATGCTGGGAAATGGAGTCTAGGAGTAGAATGTTGGGCGGGAGAAAGACTGTATTTGGGTAGACAACTGTTTTGCAGCTGCAGGAAACCTGGTATTTGAGACATGTCTGGCTGTACTGGTACCGCGAATATTCTCATTTTAGGTAGAGGCTTTTCCCTTCAGAGGAGGTGATGCCATAGTCCATTTAATCCAAATTTCTGCTACCACAGCTGAAGTCTTTGGGACAGATAAAAGTTGGTCCCATCTAAACTAATGGTGAATGAATAGAGACTCTGTCATTTAATTTCCCTGGGCATCTGACTTTCTATTTGGCTCAGTTTCTCCCATCACCTCTTACAGGTAAAGGAAATAACAGTCCTATGCTGGCAGCTAGGAAATGTATCTCCAGGAATGCAAGGATGGCTTAATATGTATTAGAATGTAAATATTACCTACCTATATATCAAGATGACGCAATCACATCCAAAACTATAGAAAAATCTTTTAATAATATTTGGTAACCAGTCATTTCTATTTTTTTTTTTTTTGGTGGCATTATAGCTCACAGCAACCTCAAATTCCTAGACTGAAACAGTATTCTTGCCTCAACTTCCTGAATAGCTGGGCCTATAGGCGTACTGCACCAGGCTGGGCTAATTTTTCTATTTTTAGTAGAGACAGAGACTCACTCTTGCTCAGGTTGGTCTCAGACTTCTGAGCTGAAGAGATCCACCCACCCTGGCCTCTTAGAGTGTTAGGATTGCAGGAGTAAGTCACTGTGCCCAACCAGGTAACCAGTCATTTCTAGATAAGCTTAATAAATTAAGACTAGCCCAATATTGAACAATAATAACAATAATGCTAAAGAGTTACTGACCTCTTCTTGTGTTAATTATACGCATAAAATAAAAACAATATCAGGCTTAATGGTGAAACACTAGAAGAATTTCTGTTAAAGTCAAAAACAAAATTCCACTCTCACTACTTTTGGAAGAACTAAACATTTAATTAGACACAAAAAAGAAACAAAAGACATCATTGATATAGAAAAATCTGGTTTCTCATTCCTCCTTGTGTGTGATATGATTGAGATCATGAAAATCAGACAATCAACAGAACAGTAAAATAAACAAGATAATTCTGTAAAATGACTGGGTACAAAATAAAAATAGGTTTTCTCCCTTCAAAGAAGACCCACAAGGCATGTAATAAAAAGAAACGAGTTACTTGGAGTTTAGCATCTTATTTGCCTGATGTATTTTAACCTCTCTGTGATCTCTTGAGTTCCCTTTCATCTCTGCATCCAGGTTTCTTTTTCTATACAGTGTTAATCCTTTATTGAGATAATGTGTGGTAGAAACTAGACAGCTGTTCTCCAAATTCCTTTCCTCTACTTCATTTTGGCACAGCTAGACTACATTTCCCAGCCTCCATTGTAGTTTACAGGGGCCGTATGACTAGGGTTCTGACCAATAAAATGTGGCAGGTAATTAGGGAGGTCAACTGACCTTATCAACACTTAAAACTTTCTTTGCTAATCTTTTATTAATGTAAAATCTACAAACAACACCCAGCCCCAACTGTTTGAAAAATTGGCGGGTTCGAACCTGGCCGGGTCAAACTGCAACAAAAAAATAGCCAGGCGTTGTGTCGGGCACCTGTAGTCCCAGCTACTCTGGAGGCCGAGGCAAAAAAATCACCTAACCCCAAGAGCTGGAGGTTACTATGAGCTGTGATGCCACAGCACTTTACTAAGGGTGACAAAGTGAGACTCTGTCTCTAAAAAAAAACTTTGCTGTCATCTCACAGGGGTGGTAGCAAGACGTGTTTTTGGTTGACTTTTGTATTTGAAACAAATTTGTTGCCAACAATGCTTATGGAGAAATACCACATAAAAATATGAATTTCTGGGTTCTCTTAAAATATCTTAAGATCTGAAAAGATAGCAGCTATTATATAGCCATGGCAACAATAGGGTAAAGCTGAGTATTTTCTTTTCTGAGTATTTCTTTCTTTTTCTTTTCTTTCCTTTTTTTTTTTTTTTTTTT